GCATGTGCTTCCTCTGCAAGCTTCACAGCTAATTTATCATTTTCAACATGCCCCACGGTACAACCGTTTGCCATAGCTATCAACCTAAGGACTAATGAATGAGTTATTTCCAACATGAGATATTATTAAAAAGGACAAGAAAGCAATTAATTAATGATGGCTCCAGGGCAAGAAACAAAGACTTAAAAGCCGTTGAGGAGAAGGCATTAGCAAGGTTGAGAGAGAAAATTATTTGTTGTCTTCAATTGTCAAGGTGAATATTTTTAGTGAAAACAGAAAGTAGCAAATGAGATGAGCAAAAGTTATGCAATTGCTACTAATAATTCTTTTGTTTATATGTGTCCAAATATAAACACAACAATTGATGATAAATCGTTCACACTATTAATATTTATTGTAAAAATTTTATACTTAAAATATTATCTTTGTAAATACCTATAAACTATATATATATTATTGTACCTACAGTATTAATTAATCAAGAAAGCATAATCTTTCTTCATATTCTTTCTGTTCTGATTTCTAATAATATGCAACAAACCAATAGAACAAGCAGTTGCTGATAAACAAGTCATTGAATGGCAAAATAAAAAACAGTTGTTGGTTCATCCTTCCTCAAGGTTAGCAGTCAAGTAGTTGCAAAATTCCATATGGTAATTTAGAAGTGCTATTTAGCAGAAATTTATAATTCTAGATTTGTAGTTTTGTAATTATTTTACATTATTTAATTGCAGCATCAATGTGAAAATTGCATTTATAATGAAAAAAAGGTGTTGTTTCTAATACTTTATTAAAGTTAATGAATTATTTTTGTTTCAAATATGACTAATTTAAAGACTAAATAACAATTAACCAATTAACGATTGCATTGAATCCTTTTTAACATAGACTTTATTGAGGGGCTGAGTTACATGTTTTTTTGGTTTGTGGCTTACGGGTTGATATGGGATAGGTTAGAGGGCTTAACACTACATTTTGCCGATCTAGGTCCTGGGAAATATAAACACTAACCATGGACAATATAGCATATATGCACAAACCTTTGGAATATTTGGCTTGATAGAAATCGTTAAAAATGATTCTTAGAGGCAACATCCCCATCCAATTCCCCCTCAGCAATAGCCAGTAGGATTATAATTGCCTTGTATGAAAACAATTATAGCATATGCTGGAACAAAATTGATGCTTTTTTATTTTTTATTTTTTGACATTTATGATCAAGAGTATCTTTGAATCAAGTCTTCACAAACCTTAAAGTTGATCTCTTTCCTAGTAATTTTTAGGGTACACTTTTCTTATTGGCATGATACACTAAAAAAAAACTTAATTTTTTTGGGTACTACTAACCCCCAAGAACTAAATCCGTAGTGGTATTTGGT